TATCTATCTATCTATCTGTCTGTCTGTCTGTCTGTCTGTCTATCTGTCTGTATCTGTCTGTCTGTCTGTCTATCTATCTATCTATCTATCTGTCTGTCTGTCTGTCTGTCTGTCTGTCTGTCTCTATCTACAGTATCTGTCTGTCTATCTATCTATCTATCTATCTATCTATCTATCAGTGCTCTTCAGTATCAGTGATCATGTTCCTGAGGGCTAGTTGTCTATTATGTGAGATTATGTATTTGTTAACATTTTCAATCCCTCATTCGACCCGCAACCTCTATATACAGATTTCAATGTTAGTCGTGGATTGATGACTCTCAGTGACCGGACGGATCTGATATGCTGTCACAAGGACCAGGTTATGTGTTTTTTCTATGCTGATTCAAGAAACATTGGCCAGCAAAATTCCTCTGACAATTGCTGCAAACTTACTATCAGTGGAGAACAACTGTTACAAGGAAAAGTTGGAGAGGAGCTCCGAACAACAATTAGCGTCCACTGTGAACCCAAATCTGACTACAAAATGAACCGAAATGTCACCATTACAGTGTGGAGGATATGTAAATAGTTTTTTAAACCTTTGTAATGCTATAAAACACTTTTTAAAAATTCTTTATCTAGACATAGGGCACAGATTCAAAATTTGAAAGCCTTTTCTGTTGTTTTCATCTTTAGCTCTTACTGGTAAAAACACTCTTGTTTTTCTGGTTATCCTGGGGACACTGATTCTGCTCACTTTGCTCATCTTAATCATCATATGTATTATCTATGTGACCAAAAAGCAAGGTAAGAAACGGTAAACATAACATTATCTTGTGTAATTCTGGATATGTCAAAGAATGACTTTACACCTAATGTCTTATATGTTTAGATGCTTTATAACCACGAGTTACTGCCCAATATCTTCAGTAGTATACAAAATGTATTTATTCATTGATAAAATTTTTTTTTTTTTTTTTTTTTTTTAAGGGTATAGACAAAAGTTTCATCCAGTGAGGTCAGTGCATATTATGACTTATTCAGCTAAAATATTTGGTATAAACCTGCGGTTCTCTAAATGTTATGTTTTGTTTTCATAGTTACAGAACTCAAGTAACGGACACTGGTGAGTGAGTTAGCAGAAATGCTCATAACGTCTGTAGTACTGGTACAAACTTGCACTGCACCTCTCTACTGTGTTTTTATAGTAAATGGATAATTCTGTAGTCATGATCGGTATGATGTTGAGGTGTGATTTACTTTAAAAGAAAATATCAAATTCATGACAAATTCACAACAAATTCTCTCTCTCCCTCTTTTTTTTTTTTTTTTTTTAGTCTCTCTAGGAGTAACTTGGTGGAGAGTGTGGTTATTGTTGAAGTGCAGGAAGAGAAAACGGAGGTACATATTTTATTTATTTATATTTTATTACTTTTGAAATGAGAATGAAAACATGTCAGGGAGTTATACAGGTTTCACATTCACTTTGAATGTTTACATGTAACTACATATCAGTCACTATCTGCATTTCTGTTTTTATGAACATGATTTTGGGAAATACTTATTTGTAATATTGAATTTAAACTGAAAAGCGTTTTTTTTTTACATGTTTTTCACAGATAGTAGAGGATGAGCTATTATATGCCACAGTGAATCATTCAGGTGCTGGTGAAAACTCTGCTCCTGCAGTGAAGTTTGAATCAGGAACTGACTATGCCACAGTGGTCAAACACTGAACGGAATTTTTTCCCCCCTCATGGATTTAAGTCACCAAAGATGAAATAAAAGTTGTATGCGTTATGTTTTGAGCAAATTTATTATGGTTCTCATTATTGTTCTCCTGACTTGATTTTAGATATAAGATATATAATAAACTCACATGAAAGAATCTGTTAATTTGATTAATACAAACCAGAAACAAGTGGTTGAATTAGTAATAGAGTTGACTCTAGGTTTGCTATAATGGCACTCTTTCCAGCATTCAGGGAAGGGCTCTTTTGCTACATGTAGCTACACTTCTTGATGACAGGAATAGTTAACATGAAACTCGCGTGTGTATTTATATTTATATAAATATAAATATTATATTATTATTTATATATAAGAGATTCAAGTTAAACTATACGTCTGTCATCAAAACTATTTTCAAATATATCATAGTACATGCAGTACCAGGAAAAATGTCTCTGTTTTATCAGTTTATTTAAGCCGATATATGTACAGTCATGGCCAAAAGTTTTGGCAGTGACATAAATGTTGTGTTTTGCAAAGTTTTCTGCTTAAGCTGTTGTGGTGTTCATTCACATTGTTTCTAGATTATTGTGTAGAGTGATCAGATGCATTTTAAATAATTGCTAAAAGCTTCATTGGCCAAAAAATCAACTTCTCACAAAAAACAAATTTCACTGTTTTTTGATCCTGACACAAAATGACCAGCTAACATTAATTGACTAATCATACTGCCACGAATAAAGAATGGTATCAAAAACGTCCCGCAAGAGCAACTTCTTCCAACGATGCATGAGCAATTTGGTGATGATCCGTGCATTTTCCAGCATGATGGAGCACCATGTCACAAAGCAAGAGCGATAAAGAAGTGGCTCGAAGGTTTTTTGATCCTGACACAAAATGACCAGCTAACATTAGCTGACTAATCATATCAGCATAACATGTGAAAGTATGAATGAGTACTAGTCAGGTTAATCACTATCATACTAAATAGATTGTAAGAGCAGACTGATTGCTATAAAAGGAGGGAAGAAGCACTTCCAATCATTGTGTTCTTGTTTGCAATGTTTACCTCCAAAGAAACACTTGCAGCCATCATCGCTTTACATCAAAATGGCCTCACATGCAAGGAAATTGCTACAAAGAATATTGCACCTGAAAGAACCATTTACCGGATCATCAAGAACTTCAAGGAGAGAGGTTCGACTGCAGTGAAGAAGTCTTCAGGACGTCCCAGAGTGTCCAGCAAGCGCCAGGAC